ATAATATCCATACTCATCAAACAGACATCCCTATTTAGGTATAACCCAAAAACCCATAATCTATAATCCCCAAAAACCCATAACCCATATGGGTACCCAACAAATACCCATGGGTCAAATGGGTGAGAAGCTAAATGGGTCCCCATGGGGACTTTTTCCCCTACCCTCAAAAGCTTATAGAGGGTTAGGAGAATGAAGCCAGCGGTAATAATACCGTTCAAGGGGCTCTTAACACCACATTCTGAGTTGACTGCCGTTCTCGATATGACGCCTCCGACACTTATCGTTTCGAACAAACTATTGATAGTATTTGTGACACCAAGGTAACAGAGCTCTTGGCTTTCGTCAATAGCATAGTTATTTTGCGAACGAATGCCTTTCCAATAGCTAAGTGCTCGAGTGACAAAGCCACTAACGGGTCAATTGCTCTAGTTGTGACTTTTGAAACTGATTGTAGTGTATATGAGCAAAACAATGAATGCTCGACTGCTGCAAATGAACTTGACGATAGCTCTCTTCTTCCCCATTTCTTGCCGACAAACCCCAGGACGTAAAACTTCAGGATGCCACTAAAGCCAATAGCAATAGTAAGTGGCTTCATCCCTGGCATACGTGTGAGAACGTTTCTGATGATGTTGGGTGTGCCAGGTGGGACGGCGCGAAGGCCTACGAGGGATCCGACCTGTCCGAGAAGAATGGTAATGGCTGTCGCAGACTGAAACCCAGATAGAACAGGCACTGAAATGAAACCCAGAAGGAATCCCATTTTCAACAGCCCGACAATGAACTAATACATGCCAACCATCAGCAACGGCCGATGAGATGTCTTGTGCAGCATGTCCCTCGGTTTTCAGGTCACTAATGATTTCTGCTGTCAATAGACCCATGATGGAAGTCGGCCCGGTGGATATATCTATGTAAGGGTCGGACATTGGGCACTTTCTCATATCGGTAGAAGCGCACCTTTCGAAGTTCCCATGAATATTTAAATAGCTGCTGGTAGCCAGCTAGAGTAGAGGCCAAACTCTCCAGGGATTGTTGCGATTTTAGCATAGGCCAATGCTTGCGGGATCATCATGACACCAATGATCATTCCAGCAATGAAGTCAGACAACACCCATTTAGGGTCATGATGAGGAAGCTATTGCACTATGGGGAATTTCTGGATGAGATATTGACAAGTTACTAAAGGCAGCCTTGGCAAATTGGTAGCAGCTTTTCTTCGTATTGTGTTATTGTGCTGTCAGTCTCCAAACTAGACTTGGCCTTTTCGATGTATTTCATGACGAGAGCAAACATTTCTTTACGACGAAGTTGTCAATAAGCATTTGAAGAAGATGGGTGTACAAGATACGTAGGTTAATTATGTGGCTTCAAAATAGCCCGGAAGATTCAAAGTATCTTGACAAGTGATGAGACAGATGGCTTTTATCCAAGCTCTGACCTTAAGGTGGGCTTGTCGCCGCTCAAATCAACATGTTTGACTGCGACTGATACAAGTTGTTAAAAGGTCCTAGAAGGGCGGATGGACGCAAACATCCGGACGACTTATTTTATGTGTCAAAACTTGCAAGTGGTTTACAGATGCCAGGTGCCGCAATTCACCAACGGGGGGACCCCGTCTTCGGCAGTAGTTTGCACCACCTTGCATTCCACTAACATTTATTTTACGGCCATTGGAGTGTACACCTCGTCATCTATTGGCTCCGTCGAACACGCACCCCGCCTTCGAATGAGGGGATCCTAGCCAAGACTAACATGGAGGAGAATGTGTTGCGGTCATTGAGATGGCCCTTGTCTTGGCAAAAGCAGATGTGTTCTGTCTACTTAGCCATTCTTTATTCTTCATGTTTCTGAATATCAACATCAATACCATGTGTCTCCGGAAAACTCTCGTGAGTTCGATGTCTTCTGCGCGTGGAAGGGGCATAACAGCAGTGGCCTATACGTTAAACGCAAGCAAGGTTTGGGCAGCCCCGCATAGGGATATCCGACTGGTATATCTTGCAGTACTAATTACGCGGGATGGCCCCGACCCAAGCATCTGAGCTCGAATGGTTCAAGCTTCATATGAAACAAGGAGTCTCAACCACACAGCAGTGGATGACAAACGCGGGACCAGTTCCTTAACAATGAACCCCCGCTCAAGAAACGTGAGTATGGGCCTCATCGAACAATATGGGGCATGTTTCCAGCTGCTTTGGCCATCTGATGACGTCAGTAGAGAACACTGTTAATTAGTTCCTATCCAACGGTCCCACGTCCGATGACAGCCTACTTCATACTTTTGAGAGAAACCCGTCGCATCACTTTACTTTTGGAAAGTTGTATTGCGACCTTATGTACAGGAAGACTAAACCCTCAGGATAAATAACTCGCGAGACCAGACTAGAATCTATCTATCAAATTTTAGGCGCCTAGTGATTATTCATTATGTGAGCTGTCGCGATGCCCTCACGCGCATCGCGCAGCCTTGTGAGATTTGCGCCAGGCCCGGATTAACTATTAGTCCGGTCCCTTCGTGCAGATCCACCACACAGAATACGTATTTATTCGTTTTAGACAAAGTAATCTTACATATAGAAATCTAAGCCGTTTTCTTTATATCTTTTTTACTCTAAGTAGTGACTCTATAATAGTTATAAGCTTAGCTTATATTATACTTTTAAACTACTATATTTAAAGTATACTATAGGCTAGAAAATCTCTTTTAAATAAACTATTTTTATTTTCTTAAATTAATATCTTTAATATATCTATTTTTATTAAGGCTATAAAAAAGCTTAAGACATAAAATAATTAGCTTTTATAGTATATAACTCTTTAGCTTAAAGTAAAATTAAAGTATATTTAAGAATTTATTAACTTAAATAGACTTAAATAAATAAAAAAAAAATAAACTTAAATATTTTAATAAAATCTTAAATACTTTAAAAATTTTTATTTTTAATAAATTTATTATTAATATAAATCTTAAATAAACTAATAATAAACCTCTTTTAATAATAATTAATTTAAATATTAAAGTTATATATTAAATATATATTTTAAACGTTAATATAAAAAAAGCTATTTAAAAATAATAAAAAAAAGTATTTAATATAATTAATATATAAATAAAAATATTAATTATTAAATTACTTTTTAAGTTAACTTAAATAAAAGCTTTAATATAAAACTAAATAATATTTTATTTAATACTTAAAATTTTTAAGTAATAATATATATTAAGTAACTTATTTAACTAAACTATTATTTAAAAAGAATATTTAGCTTTATTAAATTAAATAGCTTTAAGTATTAACTTATTTATTTAGTTAATAAAATAATAAAATTTTTACTTTTATATAAAAATCTTAGACTTATTAAAAGTCTAAAGTATTTTTATTTTAAGAACCTTTTTAAAAGTAGTATTATATAAAATTACTTTATTTTAAGTAACTTATAAACTTATAGAAATTATTTAAAATAAAATAATAAGCCTTTTAATTAAAAACCTAAATAACTATATAATAATCTTAATTAGAGTAAGAATAATAAGGGGTTATTTATAAATAGTTATAAGGAAAAGTAGAGAAGAATAAAGGTAGTGGAAAGGGGCAGGGTTTCGCGTTTTTGTTTTTCCTTTTATCAGCCTGCAGACACAATCACAGGCCTGATCAGACGTGACTAAGCAGGACCCTTCCAAGTACAAAAGGGGACTCTAGTTAGATACTATCACGAGGGCATTGGCATGGGATTACTAAGCGGACAGACAAGCTTGACATCTTTAGACAAGCACTTAGACAGACATGGACGAATTTATTACTTTGATATCTAAATAAGACGTGTAATAAGTGACTATTACTTTGTTTTCTTAGGCCTGACTAGACCTCTAAGGTCTAGGAGGGTATCCTCCTCCTCCAGAGATCACGACACATATATGCGTACCACTTAGTAATAAGGGCAAATCTGAACAGATAGTAAGACGTGAAGGATATACTTTTCTGGTTTGCTCATGGCCTTGATCAGGCTAAGGAGGACCTGAAAAGAGTAGTATTTCATGGTCTAGGCGTTGGGGTAGTCACTTGGGGTAATCGGTCACTCCAGGTGCACTTGTGACGATACTGGGACCTTGGTGTTTGGTGTGGTTTGTGTGTTAACTGCCTACTTGCTGGCTTCCTTTATTCCACGCAGTTTCAATGGTGCCTTGTGGCGGAATTGAACTGCCGATCTTTTCATTGATTTATTTCGATTATGCGATAAATCTGATATTAGTACCTTGAAAATAGCTTTAACTAACAGAATATATCATTGAAAAGATATGAAGGAAATGATATCCTTGACCTGATTAGACTTAGTCCTAGACGTGGGAGTGAGCCTGACCCTGAGAAACTGCAATGGACAAGACCCAAGAAAAGCGGGACTCTTCGAAAAAGCAAAGAAACGAATGACTAGCTATGACGACATAATACGGCCAGACAAACCTTCTGCATGGGCGATCCTTTTGTGGGCAAGCACTGAGCAAGCCTAATTGGAGAAAGGAGCCTGTAAGATGTGAGAGGAAGAAGAAAAACGATAAGATAAGAATGATACCTTCTGCTGGGACTAGTGAGCTAAGCTCTCTCAGTGTAGGTTATGGAATGATTATGACCACGAACTAAGCCCAGAACTTCTTGAGAGCTTGTTACCATGTAAGCCTCGGTCTGATCAGGTTCGATATTGCGCTATTAACGGAGACTAAACGTCTTAGCGTTGATGGATTGGTAGTAATGGAAATTTAACGTTCCTTTAGGATTGGCCTGGACTTGATGAGCACCCCCTTTGGAAACTTAATCAAGGACGTAGTAAACTAATGCCTTATAAGAATATACGAAATACTGCTCCTAAGTTTGATTAGGTTGACAGACTGGGCCAGGCAGCAACTCCGAAGAGATTTTATGCGTAGTACCTTAAGATTAATTCAGAGTGATTGATACCATTTATACTTCCTACAACTGGCTTGCTAGGATATCAGTAACATGTCTGAGCTGACCCCATCAACGACTGACACGGGGCAGCTCGGAGGTCTGACTGATCAGGCAGCCTTATTCGCCGGTGAAGCTTTCCAGAGTTACCGAGGCCCTGACGACAATGTGGACACTGAGTCTGAGACCGGTCCTGAGATTCTCAACTTCGGAACTACCAAGAGAAGCGAGGGCAAGGACCTAAGCTCAGGCTATTGGTAGTACAAAGGGAGTCCTGATCAGGCTGGCGAGGACATAAGCCCTTCCCCTGATCTGGCATCAGACTCCCTTACTGCGGCAGACTTCCGGGCCTAGCAACTCTTGATGGCGAACCTATTAACAATGGTCAACGTAAGCATGACCAAGGACCAAGGGTCTGTTAAGCCTGATCAGGGCGGGACAGATAACCTGCGTCGGTTAACCATCAAGATGTTACCGCTGGACACTAAAGGGGCCCCCACCTTTGACGGCTGTAACATCACCGATTTCCTTGATAAGTATGAAGCCTTGACTGGGCTTGCTGGTTACTCTGACAAAGAGAAGACAAAAGCGTTGCTATGGTACTTACCTGATGAACACCGAGCAACGGTGAAGATCAAGGCTGAAAAGGAGACTTGGTAAGAACTAAGCAAGTTCCTTTTTGACACTTATGGACAACTCGACGAAGAGGTCATCCTTCAACTGAACTGCCGCATCAAGGACCTTATGAAGGGAGACTTGATCAGGGACGATAACCTGACAGAAACTGCAACTTTGTTTTAGAAGGTTGAGAGTGTAAGAGAAAAGGCAAAGGCTAAAGGGAAGCCTGTGATGGGCGCCTAAGAGCTGATTGAGCTTTTTGCTATGCGATTTTCCGAAAACACGATTATGGTAGTGTCTTTGTAGATGGGACTTTCCCCTGCTGATCTGTTTGAGAGAGGGAACTTCAGTGCCTTTAAGAGGGCAATGCTCGCATGGGTGGGACAGAAGTCAAGATATAAGGGTCATTACGGAGATTCTGACACTTTTGCCTCCTCCTCATTGGCTATGGTTCCCTATTCCTCAAAGCGGCCTTCCAGCCCTGATCAGGTCAAAGGTATATTCCCTAAGAAGTTTGCTTTCAAAGACATCAAAGTTATGACTGATCCCGCTATGGACGAACTTTTGAAAACAGTAGCAGCCCTCACACTTGCTGTAAAAGCCAGTCTTGAAGCCCAGACTATCTCTAATAGTCAACCTATGGTTGCATGTAGTTATAACGTCTCTGCATCCGGTCCTCCACGGCTATATACACCACCAGCTTGACAACCGTCGTCCTTCAGCAAGCCAGGTTTTGTTCCAGGCCATCCTGATCAGTGTTGGTATGATGTATGCGACCAAAGAAGGTATTGGATGTGCCTGTAACTTAAAAAGGACAAAGAGGCCAACCTGATCATGTTGGACTATGATGTTTACAAGTATGGGGTACTTTGAGGATTGAATGTTGAGGTAAATGAAGTTCCTGATGTTGTTATCTGGGAAGCCTGTAAAAACTACTAGCTTGACTGGGTTACTATCCTTACCCATGTGGCGAATAACACCTTGTTCCTAGAAGCCGCAAAAGCAGCAAAACGTATGATTGACCAGGGTGTTGGATGTCCCTTTTAACCTGAGATATAGTGCTACCTACCGCTGTACACCCAAGACGCCCGGGTGAATCTTGTCAAATGCGTCTCAGTATCCCCTAAGACATATGCTGAAGTCTTCCTAACTCAAGGGGCAAAAGTGAACGCGGTTACTAGGTCATTGGACATAATGCTGCGACCTATTTTGCGCTGCCCTGATCAGGCAAGGCCCTATTTAGTACGCCAAGGCTTTGTTTTGAAAAACATGTATTGAAGAGGGAGCACTTCCAGCACTGGCTCCCAGGCTGAGGAAATGAATATTGATGCCTGTGCCCAGACTCCTCTGCCGACATAACTTACCGGTCTAGTGCACCCTGATCAGGCCTATCAGACTCCTGAAAGTTCAAGGTCCCCTTCTGTTTAAGCTGTACCAGCGGGCGAGCACGCCAACTTCGCGCATAGTTCAGGATATGCTTAAGAACCTGCCAAAGAGGATTCTATCCTAGATCAACTGGAGATAATGGACTGAGCTGCGTCTGCTTAAGCTATTGCCAAGAAATTTGGAGGGAATATTACCATCCCTTTTGACGTTGTACTTTGAGTCTGGCTTTAGCTTAACCAGGATGCGATGGTAATGATACGCCAGATGCTGGACAGCAACGGGTACTCGGACATCTACCTAGAGGCTCCCTCTGACCTGATCAGGGAGGTGAAACCATATGAAAGATCAGGGGCCTGCGAGGCAATCGATAGATATAACAGAGACGTCCCGAACCTTATGAGCGGAACTGCCAAGGTCAGACTTATTAAGACGCTTGACTTGACCACCATTGAGTCTATTGTTCTGCACTTTATGATGCCTCACTTTGTGATCAACGTCTGAGTTGGTGGTCTTTGCCTTGATCAGAACGACTTGATTAAGGGTGTTATTGACAATGGTTCACAAATCAACGTTATTTCAAGATTGTACGCAGACAAGCACGCTATCAAGCTTACAACTACGCCGCTTGGGATGAACGCTTTTGATCCTAATTCAGAGCGTGTATCCTTTGACGGAGCAGCTATTGTGCCTGTCTGGGTTGAAGGCCACTGTTTCCTAACCAGCATGTTTGTTGCTGACGATAGAAGGATGAACGAACCACTTCTTCTGGGATCGCCTTTTGGGTTCCATACGCAGATCAACTATGTGTATGGCCCCGACATGATCACGCTGATACTGACAATAGGGCAAATTTGGCTCTATGTCCTAGCTGTATTCCTGAAGTTTGGCAATCCTGGGAAATTCCTGGACTATCTGCCAGACTGGGATAACTATGTAAGAGCTCTTAAGGGCCATCTCCCTGATCAGACCAAGCTGTATTAAGACCAGGAAAACTAGACTCCAGTAATGGTACTAGGACTGTTGCTGGAAAGCTTGAAATTCCTGGACATGAGCTATAAGAAGATGACGAAGAAGTGATCTAATTATCTGAAAAGGAGTCAGATTATCTGGTGAAAGTGGCACTAACCACACTTCTTGCCCCAGCTGTAGAAGACGTCTGTAAGACTGCAGTAAAGGTTAGAAGGCACGATAACAAGGGATGTTCTTGCTGCGTTGGAAAGCCTAACCTGCCCCACATCGACATAGATCGTCTTGATCAGGCCTGCTGCCCCAAGGTCTACCTTAACCAGTTATTAGCGACCATTGGGAAAGTGAAAGCAGAAAGAATCAGGAAGCGAATAGTTAAACAGTTTGACATGATCGACAAAAAGGGGACGCTGTTTTCCCTAGGGCAACTATACAGCTACGCGGTGGAGCTGACAAAACATTATTCCTAGCCTGATCAGACCAAGCAGGATGCAAAGGTATTCATTATGTATAAGGGAAAAGACAAGAAGATATATCTGGTTGATGACCAACCGTCTGACGGATCAACCCCTGACGGCGATCCCCTCTGGAAAGTCAAGAACCTGGCTGAAGCTGAAAAGATAATGTAACCCGATGAGGGACTGTTTTGAGGCCTGATTAGGCCTAAGTATTCAAGTATTGAGCCGTATTCACGCCTTAAGCTAGATAGATTGGCGGCTATCATGGATACACTGGGTCATCTCCTACCCCGCGAGAAGGACCTATTCCTCTAAGTCCTTCTGAACCGCGAAAATGCTCTTGCTTGGGACTTCTCTGAAAACGGTGTGCTTGACCTGAAAGTTGCCTTTCCACAGGTGATCAGGACTGTGCCTTATAAAGCTTGGCGAGAAAAGGGAATTCTGATACCTAGAGCGCTTGAATTACAAGCTATGGACATTATTTGGGTATGAATTGATAAGGGTATCCTAGAAGAAGGTCATGGGGCTATATGAAACCCTTGGTTTCTTGTAAAGAAGAAGGATGGTTCTTTACGCCTGATTAATTCAGCTACTCGAATGAATGGGGTCACGATTCGCGATGCCTTTGCTCCTCTAGGAGCAGAGAATTTCTTAGAAGATTTCGGCATGTGCCAGATTCTCTCACTCTTGGACTTCTTCTCTGGATACGACCAAGTCCCTCTAGCTGAAGAAAGCAGGGATTTAATAACGTTTGCTACACCCCTTGGACTTCTACGTATGTGCACCTTACCGCAAGGTGGCACCAATTCTGTGGCACAGTTCATGAGAGTTATCACCCGGATACTCTATGACCTTATACCACATTGTTGCTGGGCTTTTCTTGATGATATCGTCATCAAAGGGCCTATAACCACGTATAACGATGAGGAGCTCCCTGATCAGGCCGGCATTCGACGCTACATCTATGAACATATTCGCTATGTCGACATGGTGCTCTTTAATGTCGAGTTGGCAGGCTGCACAATAGCTGGCAAGAAATCACAGTGGCTTCAGAGAACGGCTATCATCGTCGGCTATGTCTGCGGTTCTGGAGGTTGCCGCCCTGATTAGGTGAACGTCATCAAGATCAAGGAATGGGAAAAATGCAAAGACATTAGTGAAGTCAGGTCATTTGTAGGGATGACTGGGTTCTACAGATTATGGGTCGACAGATACTCGGAGATCACTTTGCCTTTCTAGAAACTCCTTAAAAAGAACGCTACGTTTACCTGGGGGCCTGATCAGGTTAACGCCATGGATACTCTTAAGTCTAAACTAATAACTTCTCCTGTAATCATTTCATTATCCTATGGCCTAGGAGCTGGGTTAGTGGTTATCAGCATAGATGTGAGCCTGCAAGGTTGGGGCGCAGTACTAAGTCAGATGATTGGTACCCAGAGGGCTGTGGTAAGGTATGAAAGTGGTATCTGGAGAGGCGTTGAGTTAAAATACGACTCTGGGAAACTGGAATTGAGAGCGGTTTTGATGACATTGAAGAAGCTCCGAAACTACGTCTACGGTATCAGATTTTTGTTGGAAACTGATGTATAGGTCCTAGTTGCTCAGCTCAACGGAGGGTCTCACGATCTTCCTGGCGCTTTAATCACTAGGTGGATTGCTTGGATACGTCTTTTCGACTTTGACGTCAAGCATATACCGGGGACGAAGAATGTGGTAGCGGATGCGCTATCACGAAAAGCACCAGGGTTATCCGATATCGAGGAATACGAGAGCCCTGATCAGGTTGAAGATTTCATTGACGCTAACCTCTACTTTGTTTGACTGTACGAATCA